ACCTCTCTGAAACCCTGTTAATAGACATCATAATTATGTAGTACAGTACAATACTGTACTTAAATTATATCATCTTACTAAATCAATGGCCATTAAAAAAAAAAATTATAAATATTTATAAGCTGCCAACACCTATTTATAGAGTACCTGTATTGAGTCTTATATAGGGAGAAAGAGACAACAAAACTAAAAATAACTTATTCCATAATGTTTCGATCAGAAATATATATTTCTTGAGTATTTTAACTGATAAAATTACCAACAACATTACTTGTTCAATAATGGAAGGGCTTTGAAGTAGAGGAAAATGTGGGGTAAAAAAAAAACACTAAACAAACCATTGAAAATGTTACCTCACGTTAAAAATTTCTATAACTATAAAACGTTTACCTTGTAAATGTTTTCAGTGATTAGTATATAATGGTGTTGTTTTCGGTGCTCAGATGAAGAGGGATCCATAAACATGAAAGCGATTCTTAACATTTTTACAGGTTAGGAAAGGTTAGGTAAGGTTTTTGAGAGGTTTATTTGGTGTTCTTTTTAGTATTTTACCTCACATTTTCCTTCTACATACTTCAAAGCCCTGCCCACTTTGAACAACTAATAATATGGGCAATTTTATCAGTCAAAATACTCAAAAAAATTAAATTTCCGACAGAAACACAATAGAAATAAATTATTTTTAGCTTTGTTGTCTCTTTCTCCCTATATAAGACTCAATACAGGTACTATATAAGAAGGTGTTGGCAACTTATAAATATTAACCCCAAAATATACCACAAGATAATTATCAATATTATTTTTAATGACCAGTACAGTATGTTATATAGTACTTCCACATTTGTCTTGTTTTACCCTTTTGATGGACTAGAGGAGGAGGTATACATGAGATTCTATTCTGAAAATGTGACCTAAACTCACTCAAGCTACACGTGTCAAGTAATCCACTTAAGTTATGGATCAATCCAGCGTGTCTGTTAATGGGCCAAGCATCACATATCAGGGACAGGCTGAGATAGGATAGGTACTGATCTACCCTTATGGTCTGGGTATTTGTGAGCCAGCGGTGACATGGTTCACACAGGATATCAGTTACAGAATCAGTGGACTATCAACCTAGTATGATAACCATTCCACCAATTTTTAAATCAGGGAGGCTCAACTTGTGAATGTTTCCTGTTAATTTAAAGAAAACTCAACAAAGTAATTCTTCCTTTAAGTAACTTTTACTCCTAATACACGTACAGTATACACCGTACCCTCATCTCACTAATTTGTGTGATCAAGTGCAAACTTTTGTTTTTTTGCTTGTTAACTTTTTTGGCCCTCATCATGACTCCCAAATGCAAACCTGATGCAAGTGATAGTAGTGCATCCAAGAAAAGGAAAATAACTATGATGGAAGTGAAGCTTGATGTAATTAAACGCCCTGAAAAAGGCCAAACATCGGCGATTGGTTGGTCAATGGTCAAAACAATTTTGAAAGACAAAGAGAAATTCTTGAACATGTGAAAGGATCTACATCAATGCAGTCAACTTTGTTTAGTTAAACAAAGAAATGGATTGTTTATTGAAATGGAAAGATTGTTAGTGATATGAGTGGAAGATCAAAATCAAAGGCGTCTGCCTCTAAGTCTAACCTTGATTCAGGAAAAAGCAGGAAGCCTGCACATTGACTTGAAGGCTAAACGTGGTGGTGAAAGTGATGGGGAAGATTTTGTTGCTAGTAAGGGCTGGTTTAACTGGTTCCAGGCAAGGGTAAACTTACTTAACATTAAAGTGCAAGGTAAAGCAGCTAGCCCTAATGAAGATGCAGCTAGTGAATTTCCTGTTGCTTTAGCTAATGTAATTGAAGGAGGAGGTTATTGTATTGAGCAAGTTTTTTAATATTGATGAGACTGGTTTAATTTGGAAAAGGATGTCCGAACGCACGTACCTTTCAAAAAATGAAAAAACGGCACCAGGGCATAAAGCTGCCAAGGAGAGGCTGACCTTACTGTTAGGGGGTAATGCTGCTGGGGACTACAAACTAAAACCTTTGCTTGTCTACCAGTCAGAAAATCCTAGAGCTTTGAAGGGTGTTTTCAAGGCATCACTTCCAGCTAAATGGAAAGCTAATAAGAAGGCTTTGGTGACATTGTCCCTTTTTGAAGACTGGTACCTTAATCATTTTGTGCCTGAAGAGGAGCAGTCTTGACAATGCACCGGGCCATCCAACATTTTTAGATGATGTTAATCCAAACATTAAGGTTATGTACATACTGTACCTCCAAACACAACATGTTTTACAACCTATGGACAGGGAGTTATTGCTTCATTTAAAGCATATTACCTGAGAAGGACATCTGCTCAAGCTATCAAGGCAACAGAATGAAAAGAGGGTGGGACTTTCAAGGAATTTTGGAAGTCCTACAACATTTTGGATGCTGTAAAAAACATTGCAGATTCGTGGGCTGAGGTAAAAGAAACCAACATGAATGGTGTTTGGAAAAAACTCTGCCCATAGTTTGTCCATGATTTCAGGGGCTTTGAAGATGATGTTGGGGAAGTGACACAAACAATGGTAATAAACCTTGGAAAACAACTCCAACTTGATATTCATGTGGATGATGTTACAAGGTTGCTTGAGTATCATGCCGAAGAATTAAGCAGTGAGGACCTGATTAAGCTGGAGAAGCAAATTTTGTCAGAGGATGTAGAGAAAGCTAAAACTACAGAACCAAAGTGATCTGTTACAAAAGAAATGGCAGAAGGTTTTAGGCATATTGAAAAAGGATTGTTTAAATTTGAACAGCAAGATTCCAACAAAGCAAGATTCACCAAGGTTCATAGAGGTATTACTGAATGTCTACAATCAACCTCTGTAATATCTACAGAACCAGTCCCACAACCTTTGCAGCATCTACAGAGCAACTCCCAGCAACTCCAGAACCAGTTAATGCTACCTCACTAGAATCTCCAGAACCAATCCTGTTAACATCTATATCATCACCACCATCTTCAGCTTCGTCCCAATAAAGTCTCTGTCACTGCTACACATGCCCATCTCTACATGCAAGCCAGCCCCATGCTCCAACCTAGGTGTCGAACATTAATTTTTACCTTTTCTTTGGGTATTTTGTCATTCAATTTCATCTTTTCTCTTAAATTACAGTAAGTGATTCGAGATGTATAAAAGGACTTGGGCTATGATATAGTGCACATAGGGTATATGTTCCAACTTGCATACATTTCCAACTTACGGACGTCCTCAGGAACGGAACCCGTTCATAACCCGGGGACCCCCTGTACACTGTAGCATCATTTGTAGACACTGACTGACCTGTATGTGCATGGTAGAAGTGTGTGCCAGCATCTGGGGTATAAAAGGAATATCTGAAGGTTGCCCCAGAGTGAATGGGACACTGTGTGATAGCAGGAACACCATCCATATGAGGAGTGCCAGATTTCTTACGACCACGAGAGGAACGAGGTCCTTCCATGGTGATGCCATGCCAGTGTACAGTTAGGCCTCCACTGTACATTAAGTTTTTGACATCCACTACTACACGGTCACCTTGACACACCTGTGGGTACAACATATCAGTTGAATTATCAACAATACATTCAAGAACTATACTTAGGTTAATTCCATCAAATTATATAAATTATCAGTAAACCTAACCTGAAGTCATTCTTCTTGGTAATTCTAGTGAAAATATTTTCTCATGAGCTAAAATATTCCCATACACAGTAATTACTGCAGCGGTCCAATTGGCCTGCTGCAGTTTCCTCCACTCTTATGTTCTTATGTGTCCACTCTTCCTCGACTGTTTTGGAGAAGAGGCAAATAGTTATTCCTGGTTTTCTCAACCAGTCCACACATAGGAGTTTTTACTGTACCTGTACTGTCATGCTGAGGCATAATTTACTGGGTATATATTACTCTGGCTGTCAAAATAAGTTTTCTTTTCTTAGCAGAACACCATTAATTGTTCATTTATTTTTTCCTACTGATATTACAAATGCAGGTGAACCAACCAAAGGCTACACTAAGAGGTGTGTTATACCTATAAATAAATACATAAATAAAACTTCACATTAAAACAAAATTCTTTCCCATTATTTCTTACAAATGCATATGGACAGACCATATGAATACATTAAGATATACAGTATGATCGAAACAGCCAAACAGCTAATCAATACACCTGTACAGTATTGTATATTGTACATAAATAAGCCTATTTCTTATTTACATATTACATACAGAGAAAAAAACAAACCTCAAATACAACAGTTTGTCACTTTCACAGTTATAAGAAAAAAAAATCAAAAACAAAAGTTTCTCACTTGAATGGGTGGTCCCGGCATCTGCTTGTTGACCACCAAGATGCGCCGTTTGAAGCCATCCCCAGGAATGCACTCCGGCCGATGACAGTCCGTGGTGTTCCTCGGGCAATCGTAGCACGCCCTGGGATCACATAGATATAAAGAAAAATAGCAGAATTTATACCTTCCTTAATTTAGAAAACTTGTCAATTGCATTGACCTACTTAATAGTAAAACATAACAAGAATTACCTTTCCTAATTTTGCAAAGGTGTTGATTAGTATACAGTATGCATCTACTGTGTTGTTTAAACACAGAAATACACATCACCAAGAAACATGAAGTCTACCTTTAATTAATATGCTCAGATATTCATACGTTAAATTTCTTCCTTTAATATGCATAATAAAATATAGTTGAGTCTGGATTTACGCGGTTTTGGTTTACGCGTTTGGTCATTTACGCGGTGCCTTGCCAGAATTGAAATGCTTGAGTTACGCGGTAAATTTGGTCATTTACGCGGAGAGCATCTGGCGGTCCAGCCGCGCCGCGCCATTTTTGGATTCAAACCTCCCGCCATGCTTGGGTAAGCGGCGCGAGTAAGGTTGCGCAGTATGTCGGTGTTGCGTTATCGGTGACGTCATATGACGTATCGGACTGTGATTGGGCCACACATCCTTACCTCCCTCCCCCGCTAGCTGTGATTGGTTTAATGTAATATGACGTGCCCTGTCACGGGAGGGAAGAAGCCAGTTGACCTAGCCGCATCAGTCGCTCTCCTTCCAGTCACTCCGTATAAACTGTGTTCTATTGTGCCCGCTAATCTCGTAAGAATGGCTTCCACTGGACCCCCACCACCACAGAAAAACCTTGCATTACCTGGACCCAGCCGCCCTAAGCCAAAGAAGATACGACGTGCCCTAAGTTACGAAGTTAAGTACAAGATTTAGAAAAAGGAACGAGACAAGTTGATTTGGCGCACCAGCATGGCGTGAACGAATCTACGATCAGGACGATCAAGAAGGATGCAGCCAAGATAAAAAAACACATGAACATCACAAAGTCTGCAGGTACTTCAACGGTGAAGTACTGCCAGAACAAGGTGCTGCTCAAGACGGAGAATTTACTTGTGAGATACTTGATTCGTCAGGCAAGACGCAACATGGCGGTGGACACGCGGCCCGTTCAAGAGTACGCACATGAACTGTACGTAGCAGTGGCACGTAAGATGGGAGTTGCAGAGCCCAAACCCTTCAATGCTTCCTCTGGGTGGTTGCAAGGGTTTAAGAAGAGGAACAAGATCACCAACATTAACATTGGTGGTGAAGGTGGTAGTGCTGACCGTGTTGCGGCGAGTGATTTTCCTCCATTCTTACGAGAAGTTATGGAGGAAGGACAGTACACCGACGACCAGGTGTTCAACATGGATGAATCCGGTCTGTTTTGGAAAAAGCTACCTTCCAAGACCTTCGTTGTCAAGGCTGCTAGCAAGTGTCTGGCCGGAAGTTGCAGAACGAGCGCATCACCGCCCTGTTTACCACCAATGCCTCCAGTACCTGTAAACTCAAGTTATCGGTGATCCACACAGCCTGCAAGCCGCACGCCTACAAGAACATGGACATGACCAAGCTAAATGTCCACTGGCTAACCGCAAGTAAGGCGTGGATGCTCACTGCTCTGTCCCTCTCCTGGTTTGACGACTGTTTCGTTCCCAACGTCAAAAAATTCTGCGAGCAACAGAATGTTCCATTCAACATTTTGTTGCTCCTTGACAACGCACCAGGACACTCGCCCCTACTGTTGGATTGTCACCCCAACATAAAAGTGGTCTTCCTTCCTCCTAACACTACGTCGTAAATCCAGCCCATGGACCAGGAGTTGATATGCAACGTTAAGGCTGCATTCTCTACAAAGAAGTTTAAGCTCCTGAACGACTGTACCAATACCAAGGATGAGTTGCGTAACCCGGGTGACACCGATAGCGATAGCCAGAGCGACGACGAGGAACAAGAGTTGGTGGATCAAGAAGTTCGCGTCAAACAGTTTTGGAAGAAATTTAATGTAAAGAAAGCTGTTGATTTCTTGGTGGAGGCATGGGAGCAGCTGTCTGTGGCAACGATTCGTCACTCATGGTGGCAGGTGTTGCAAGGTATCCCAGGTGGGAGGCAGAGTCAACCTGTGACTGGTGAGGTTCAGTCTGTTGCAGTGGCAGTGGACCTTGCAAGAGAAGCTGCGCAGAGTGTTACAGCTGCAGGTTTCTCCGAGACCACCAACGACGACATTATGGAGGTGATAAGGGATCCTGAGGTGACTGCCGACGAGATGGTAGAAGACGATGACGTCAGTGAAGATGCAGGTGGTGCGTCATCCCGAGAAGAACACAAGTTAACGCATGGTAATGTTAAGGATGCGATCAAGTTTGCAGAGAAACTCAAGCTCATCCTTTTCAACGACCCTGACAATCACCGCTATGAAGTCTTCAATAACCAGCTGTTGCAGACTATGGAGCTGTACATCCAGATGTATCACGACAACATCAACACTAGCCGTCAGCGTAACATCACGGACTTCTTCGTCCGCAACCCACCACAGCCAGCCTAAGTCAGTGACAGTGATGCTATGGACTTTGAGGAATTTGTCAGGGAGGCCCTGACAACTATGGTGGATAGTGATGGTGATTCACCTGAGGGCCAGTAATCTGCCCTCTGCCTCGGAACCAGCCCCCATCAACGTATGCCGACCCATCTCTTCTACTAACGTAAGTGTTAAACCTAACCTAACCTTGATTTTTTCTAACGTAAGTGTTAAACCTTGATTTTTTCTAACCTAACCTTAAGTAAGTGTTAAACCTTGATTTTTTTCTAAACTAACCTAACGTAAGTGCTAAACCTTGATTTTTCTTTTACCTGGTACAGTATATTATTCTCTTATTGATATTTCTCTTCTATATTATGTATGTGTGTGCGTACCATAATAAAGTTAAGATACTATTTTTACTATAACGTACGTATTGTGTCAGAAAAAGTGGAGTTTCGGGGTCGGCCCAGTCTCTATTTCAATTAATCCCATGTGTTCTGTTATTTCATTTACGCGTTTCTCGTTTTACGCAGTACTCCACGGGTTCAATTGACCGCGTAAATGGAGACCAAACTGTATTTTAATATCCATTTGGGACGATATTCTTAACTATTTTGTAATAAGCACAATTTAATTATAATGCCTGTCTGAACTTTTTGAGCTTTAGTTCAAGTCAGCAAGATATGTACTTTCTTGTATCACCTTCACTGAACCAAGGATTCTAAGAAATTCAGTTAGTTATAAAATCTATTTACGGTTAAGTTATCGTACAGGCAAACTAGTTATAATACTTCGTTTTCCCCATAAGCATTATTTACATCCAAAGACACGGGGCCAAGCAGAACTTACAGGAAAATCAAGATAACTTTAGTCTTTACTAAATTTGACTCTTTCTAAGGGCAAGTGACCGTCGTGTTCTCGTCCGCCCAGGAGAGTGCAAACAGGAATTGGAATGAAAATGCGTTCAAAGACTGGGGTTTTTTTACGCATTTCTGTAAGATTTTTCTGCCCTTCTGAAATATAATTCAAAGCCGTGGTAGTGTAGTGGATACTCTCCCCTACAACTTTCAAGCCTAGCCGCATTCCATAGCGACGGAGTTCAGCCAACCGGCGAGTTTCTCATGGGGGAAGGGGTCGCCACCTGCAACGCTTACATCCAGTCTTACTTCCGGTGGCCGAGTATATACAGTAAGCTCTCAGTCTCGCCATTGAAGGATTGAAGTTGAAAATAATCAAATTGGACATGCCTTCCAATATCACAACACTACTATGCAATTTCTTAGACAACAGAAAGGCCAAATTAATCATCAACAACCATCTAGGACAAACTTTCAACCTTCATAGTGGAGTTCCCCAAGGCAGTAATATATCGCCGACATTATACACTGTATACAAAGCAGACATGCAGCAACCACGGCAATCAGAATATATAGCATACGCAGATGATGTCACACAGATAGTCAGGTACCCAGGAAAATCCAAACAAATGATGGCCATCAGAACAAGCAGAGAAATAGAGATAATAAATAACTATGAATGTAAATGGAAGATAAAAACCAATATCCAAAAACTCAAAATAATTCACATCGCAAAAACAAACCCATACCCTATTATTATCAATAACCAACAAATACCATATGCTGCCAACGAAAAAATATTAGGACTCAAGATAACCAGAAACGGAATATTCCCCCACATCAATGAAAGAATAGCAATTGCAAAATCACAACTTACAAAGCTCAGAAGATTCCGCCAATTAAACACCAACACGCAATTGCACCTATACAAAGCACTGATCAGACCACACTTAGAATACCCTCCGATACCTCTGAACACAATCGCAAGAACAAACTTAAATTTCAAGCAGTGCAAAATATAGCCCTCAGAAGAGCCACCATACACACAAACAGCACAAGACATACACACAGAACACGGCATACACCCACTCAACACCAGACTACACACCCAAGCAAATGCAATATGGGAAAAAATCCAGCAAGAACAGGATCCCATACTAAACCAACTAATTGAGGAAAACAACAACACATCGCACAGATGGTGGCCTAGGAGCAGGAAAAATGATAACGAAGAACCAGAGCCTCTATATACACAATAAAAAAGAACCAAAAGATGGGAACAACTCTCCAGTCACACAAGGACCTGGAGGGCCCCCACAAACAAACAAGGACCTAAAAAGTTCACAAACACCCACAATAAAAAACTAGAAACGAAAAAGATGGGGATCATCCCCCCAGTGCCACAAGGACCTGAAGGAACACCCCCCCCCCTTACATAATATGCCCCAAGGAAACATCAAATAGAACAACTTAGCTTAGCTTGGCTGAGACCGGCCTTCCCTAACCGCGTGAGTCCTCTAATGCAGCACTGTTGACGGAAGACAAAAACCCCGTCTCCGCAAGGTGGATAGCCCACCTGCTGTTAACCTCCTCCTCTATTTCCCACTTCTGAACTTTACCTTGTACTGTCCCCTTCTTGCACCCTCAGAGCTAATGCTCTCTTCTCTCCGTATCACCGACCGACCTGAAGTCCATTCTACCCTACGTTCCAGAACCGGCAAGACCTCCAAACAAGCTCCTCACCAACCAACAACTCTCTAGCACTGCACTGTACATACAATATATATACAGACAACGCATTGTGAGTTTCCAATCTATCTCAGTCCTGAGTGTGAGATATCTACATGTACGTACGTATGTGAACCCATACAAAGAGAATTTGACAACTGGCCACATACAGCACGCTACAGTAGTACCTCAGAGAGAGAGACTCACCTGGACAAGGTCTGGTACGCATGGACATCAAAGTGGAAATGACAGATTCTTGTGTCTCCATAAACACATTTTCTGTTGCAGTTTCTGCCTAAAAAGAGGGAAAAAAAAGGATAGTTACATAAATACGTAGTAAGTAATAACTTATAACTTATAGTCATCCTACACACTTGATAACCATTAAATAACTTGTGTCTTGTATGATGAAAGACTTTTTTAACAGTTCTGGGATTAAATTGCTCATGTGCCAAGTTTTCACAATTAAACATTTTATTATTATTATTATTATTATTATTATTATTATTATTATTATTATTATTATTATATTTTGACATGAAAAAAAAACTGATTCAAGTCTTAAACAAAAATATCGTATTTCCCCACAATTACATGGCTTATGATTTGACATTAACGAGTGTGGTGATTGTGGTTAAAACAATGTCAGAATTACATCAATAATTGACCCTATCTTGATTCTTTCCCTGATTCAGAGTTAACAGGGGAGAAAATATTAGTTTACGATACTTTGAGTCTTGTACAGTTACTCTTTTTTTTTACAATTTTGCAATTTACATATATACATAGATAATTATAATTTTTCTTGCTACTAAACCACATACAGTATATATAATCTGACATTAGCATGATCATTGTATTCTTATCCTTATTATTACTACAGTTAATATTAAACATTAAAAAATGTAGAAATAATTTGCTATTAACATTGCAGACTGTACAGTACTTAGGATGTTTTTAAACCATTTAATTATCTCTTTGTTATGGAAGCTGAAGTAAAATATACATAATGGATATTCTACCTCACCACCCGCCTTCTTACTGACAATATCTGGCATCTGCCTCAAGGCCATACCGGCAAAAGTACTGGAATATGAACAATTATTTATTCAGTTATTTCTTTTTATTATATAACTTTTAATGCTGTAATTCTGACTTAATTCACAACGTCAAGCAGCTCTTACCAACTAATCACAACGTCAAGCAGCTCTTACCAACTAATCACAACGTCAAGCAGCTCTTACCAACTAATCACAACGTCAAGCAGCTCTTACCAACTAATCACAACGTCAAGCAGCTCTTACCAACTAATCACAACGTCAAGCAGCTCTTACCAACTAATCACAACGTCAAGCAGCTCTTACCAACTAATCACAACGTCAAGCAACCCTCACTAACCTATCATAACACGACCTCACTAGTAGATGCCAGACGTTATCAAGTATCGAGGGGATTTAGGCGTCAACAAAATAATGATCTTTCAACTGTCCTTCGGAAAATTGTATTTCAAGGATTAAGTGAGATTAGATCTGAGTTAACAGTGAACTATTTACGCTATTATTTACTTTATGTGCCAGATTCTCTTATCTTTTTACGTATATATCTAGGAAGACGTGATGCTATAGCTTACGATATGTCCAAGTGTGTGTGTGTGTGTGTGTGTTCGCACACAGGGTGGTGAAATGCGTCTAGTGTGGCAGCATTATGTTAGTGTTAAGGTGCAGGCATTGCTTGCTCCCTCTCACTATCAGCTACCACCGCTGGCTAGCCCTCATGGCGAACAGGGCAGTAGCTTGCATAAGTCTTCCCCTGCCAGTACACAGTGTAATGAGTGATTGTCAGACCAAACCTTACAGCCCAGAATTATGTCACATATAACAGCAAGTACACCACAGACCTCGTGGTACCACCGCATTCCAGGTTGACACACCTCAGGTCGACCCTAGGGACTTGACCTTGCCCGCTAATGACGTGAGCCGGTGACCTACAACCGCACCTAGCCAAGACACCTGGCCAGGACCACACCTGCACACAATTATCCAGATCAAACCAGTTTAGTGTTAATTGTTAGAGGTCAGAAGCCGGCTGGGCCGACCCCATATAAAGGCCCTACAGTCCCGTCCACGGGCATTCAATATTCCATATTCTTTGGTCATACTGATTCTCATTCTGGTTGCTGTCATCTCTCTCCCGTTCGGGTCGTCACTCGGTTCACTAAGCAGAGTCACGCAAGTCCCCTCCCCAGGTCGGGAGGGAGACTTCCCGACCAGACCCCAGCTAAGCAGAAGCCTCTCATAGGAGGCAGCCCAGCCAGCACCCACTGGGCCTACGTCAGGGTACACGTGAGTCTTGTCAGAACGTCCTAGGGTGAGTTACCTACTGTGGGAAGTGTATTCATTCAGGTGTGTCCGAGAGTCAGTGTCAAGTAACGTAAAGCATGATGTGTTAGTACCCCGATATAATAGTGATATTAATGTGTCCATGTCATTGAGTGAATTAATAAATAGTTGTATCAAGAGGTGTTTAACAAGTTGTCCCTTTAAGAAGTGATATATGTGTATTGACATACGAGATAAGATAAGCGTAGTGACGCTGTGCAAATAACATCCAGGCCACGCTACCAAGTTTCCTATCTTTACATTCCTACTCTCTATACTTCCTACTTATGTATGTAATTCTCTCATTGTGTTTACCCTCATTACATTGGTGGCAGCGAACTATGACGTTAACCCACGCCCCCGCGTCCCTTGTTATTGGTAACAGTGTACTTAACGTAAACCCATGCCCTCCCCCGTTAGCCATAACACCTGGCTCGTTAGTTCAAAAGTGCGTAATAAGAAGTTCCTGCGTAGTAGCGTGAAAAGTGTCCTAGTGTGTCTCCGTTACAGCTCAAGTAAATGTCTCTCGTCGTGGTATGTGCGAATTTTTAATAGAAATATGTTCAGTGCTTAACGTAATTTCTCAGTGTCACCCGCTATCTGTGGCATTCTCAGTAGCCCAAGTGCAGTTTGATTGTTGGTCAGTGTTGAATGTAGCCATTATGTTTCAGTGATGAAAGCGGTGTCTGTACTAACTGTTATAACTTAACATGTCTTTTAACCTACATCCTCCTCCCTGTCCTAATCCTTACCTCACCCTCCTTACCCTTCCTCCCATCCCTGTACTCTTTGACGCGCAGTGATAAATGATATTCAGTGTAGTGCGCAGAGCTTCACTCCCCGACCCAGCCTGATGAGAACATTGTCGTGACAGAAATGATAGTTGCCAAACATTGACGTATCGTATAAAGTAAACTTTTTTTTTGCGAATGCACTTCCAACTAATCCATCACCCCTTTAGGATTGTTTCTCTGTCAAATGTCACACACAGTACCACCCATGGCCAGCCGGACGTCAACCACAGTACATACGAGCAGAGAAGAACCAGCATGATGAAAGCAGCGTGATGAATGCAGCTTGATGAAGGCAGCACGAAACCCACCACACACCACGTCACTTCTTTCAAGTCCTCCCTTGGTATAGGATTAAGAAGATTTTATATTTTTCTACTTTAGGAAGTAAGGAGTGTGGAATGGATCGCCACACAACGAACCCTGGTGAGCCCAGCCAGGGAGGGATTCACCACTGTGGAAGGTGTAAGACAGGACGGTCTTTGGTCTCGCCGACACTCACGTACGGAGGGCGAGCCCTGGTCCGCGGAACCTGCCTTACAGTCATCTAAGGAGACGACAGCCCAAACAGTGGACCGGCTTTCATCCCGGCCGGAGAGGGCCGTCGGCAGACGAACAGAATATCGTCTGGAATATGTTGAAAATGATGATGTTGCAGAGAAGAAATACAGATGGAGCAGAAAATCGTCTGGAATATGTTGAAAATGATGATGTTGCAGAGAAGAAATGCAGATGAAGCAGAAAAATTCATCTGGAATATGACGGAAAACGAAGATGTATAAAGAAACTCAGATGGAGCAGAAAAATTCATCTGGAATATGAAGATGAAGATGTATAGAGGAAGAACGCAGATGGGACAGAAAACTCGTCTGGAAGAGTATGGAAACCAGGAGGAAGTGAGAAGAAGTCAGAAGGTGTGGAGAAACGACCTACAAGGTGCGGTATGTGAAGAAAGAAGACAGAAGACAGAAGATGTGCTATGTGAAGAAAGAAGACAGAAGATGTGCTGTCCTGACATCACAAGAAAGCCGATGATGAAGGACCAACCGACTACAGCTGCTGAGCTGCCGCCATCCCCTGTTTTTCAGATACCAGCCGGATGGAAGACGTGAGCTATGCTGGACCCAACTAATGTACTGATGTTGTTGATGTATAATAAAAAGATATCAATACCCTAATATGTGAAGTAGGAACATTTTTTGTATTTTGAAGTATTTTCTCTGATTTTTGTTGATGTTTACTACAAAGAATGTCTTTTTTTAGTCTCACTTTTTTCTATGAGTTCATTTGATCAATGTCTTGGACTATGAAACACGATGTTGTAGCTATATTACTGAGTGAGATGAATTATTATTTTGACATGGGCTGATAAGGAAATGTAACACCTGCTATTGTTTGTAGAATGTGATTTGCAAGGTTGCCTCGGACACTATGCTACATATGAAGGATTTTTTCATTCTATGTTCACTTGCTATGTTTCCTTTTTCTCCTGGCATAGAAGCTTTGATCTTGGCGGGAGGTATAGTGAGCTTTGTCAGATCAAACTAGCGCCAGTAGAAAAACACACCTATGAGATTGTTGTTTGTGAATGTGAGACTATGTTAGCGCCCCAGGGATTATCTTTGATACCACACGTGATGTTGCTGTCTATATGTGACATCAGTCTCTGTGATGAAGCTTTGGTCTTGGCGGGAGGTGTAATGAGTGATTGTCAGACCAAACCTTACAGCCCAGAATTATGTCACATATAACAGCAAGTACACCACAGACCTCGTGGTACCACCGCATTCCAGGTTGACACACCTCAGGTCGACCCAAGGGACTTGACCTGGCCCGCTAATGACGTGAGCCGGTGACCTACAACCGCACCTAGCCAAGACACCTGGCCAGGACCACACCTGCACACAATTATCCAGATCAAACCAGTTTAGTGTTAATTGTTAGAGGTCAGAAGCCGGCTGGGCCGACCCCATATAAAGGCCCTACAGTCCCGTCCACGGGCATCACCTTTCGGGATTCCATTACGATTCTCATTCTGGTTGCTGTCATCTCTCTCCCGTTCGGGTCGTCACTCGGTTCACTAAGCAGAGTCAAGCTCACCCTCTCCCCAGGTCGGGAAGGGGACTTCCCGACCAGACCCCAGCCAAGCAGAAGCCTCTCATAGGAGGCAGCCCAGCCAGCACTCACTGGGCCTACGTCAGGGTACACGTGAGTCTTGTCAGAACGTCCTAGGGTGAGTGACCTACTGTGGGAAGTGTATTCATTCAGGTGTGTCCGAGAGTCAGTGTCAAGTAACGTAAAGCATGATGTGTTAGTACCCCGATATAATAGTGATATTAATGTGTCCATGTCATTGAGTGAATTAATAAATAGTTGTATCGAAGAGGTGTTTAACAAGTTGTCCCTTTAAGAAGTGATATATGTGTATTGACATACGAGATAAGATAAGCGTAGTGACGCTGTGCAAATAACATCCAGGCCACGCTACCAAGTTTCCTATCTTTACATTCCTACTCTCTCTACTCCTTCCTATATTTATATTCTTCTTCTCATTGTGTTTACCCTCATTACACCAGGTACACCACTGACACTCCCAGGTACACCCCTGACACTCCCAGGTGCACCTCTGACACTTCCAGGTACACCTCAGACACTCCCAGGTACACCTCTGACACTTCGAGGTACACATCTGACACTTCCAGGTACACCCCTGACACTTCCAGGTACACCAATGACACTACCAGGTACACCTCTGACACTCCGAGGTACTCCTCGGAAGCTCCCAGGTACTCCTCTGATGCTCCCAGGTACACCTCTGACACTCCCAGGTACACCTCTGACACTCCCAGGTACACCCCTGACACTCCCAGGTACACC